GACATCTATGTCCATACATCAAATTACAGTGTGCAGTATTAATACAGTCACCCCATGTTAATCACAAAGGTAATACAGTTCTGACTGTTATTCAACACGTCTTGTGCATTAAATAATTCAGAGCTCTATGCTATTAGAATTGTCACTAATAGTACAGACAGCAGAAATTCTATTTCCATTCAAAATCTCTCTTTTTTTTTTTTTCTATCAGACTCCTATATAATGTTGTTTGGGACTGTGGATTCGATCTGTAATTCCATTAAAGGACCACTCTAGGCACCCAAACCACTTCAGCTTAATGAAGTGGTCTGGGTGCCTGGTCCAGCTAGGGTTAACCCCCTTTTTTTTTTATAAACATGTTTATAAATGGGTTAATCCAGCCTCTAGTGGCTGACTCATTGACAGCCGCTAGATGCGCTTGCGTGCTTCTCACTGTGAAAATCACAGTGAGAAGATGCCAGCGTCAATAGGAAAGCATTTTAAATGCTTTCCAATGAACTGGCTGAATGCGCACGCGGTTCCTGCCGCACATGCGCATTCAGCCGATGACGTCGCTAGGAAGGAGGAGAGGAGGAGGAAAGCTCCCCACCCGGCACTGGGAAAGGTAAGATTTTAACCCCTTCCTCTCCCCAGAGCCCGGCAGGAGGGGGACCCAGAGGGTTGGGGCACCCTCAGGGCATTATAGAGCCAGGAAAACGAGTATGTTTTCCTGGCACTATAGTGGTCCTTTAATTATCTGAGAGTTAGCAGATATACAGCTGTTAACTTTGGCCTAGTTCACGCATCCAGTCATGTCAGCCATTCGTCCTGGTCATTCAGGAAGTAGTGGCTCAGTTCTTGCCATATAAAGAGATGCACAGAACATCTTTCTGGAGTGTTTATAACTACTATGTCATAGAAAAAAAAAAGGAATACATATTTATTTTAACTGGGCAGGAAACCAAATTTTTTTTTCCTTATTATGAAAACCACAAAAGCTGTCTGGGAATACTACACGAAAGACAATTTTATTTTGAGCTAGGCAAGTTTATATAAATTATTATCTGTAAGAGCAGGCATTAGATAAAGATGGGGGCGGTCTCTTAAGCAGACAATTTTGACTGAGGCTGGACTTTCAAGTCAGACTGACCTAGAACCAAATATTATCATCGTATTATCCTACTTTCCTTTCACTTGACAAACCACAGTCATTAAAAATAAAATGTTACTATTAAAGTGTTGACACATGCCCACACTATCCAAATAAGTGAAATGTAAACTGTGTAAAACTTGCAAAATGACTACTCTACAATAAAAACACATAGCACTGCCACATTATTCAGATGTATATTGTGTATGATACAGTAACTGAAGCACCATATTCATTTGCACCTTAACAGGAACACTGTGGGCACTATAACAACTTCATGGAACTATACTTCGGACACTTTGAATCACGAACCCCTGGAAAATCGCACCGCTGCCTATTCCGTACCCAGACAAGCCAGGAGAGCGCTGTTCGGGAAAAATACTCTCCCGAACTGAGAGACCATTCGCTCCCTACGAGCCAGGGGGAGCCTTTGATTACAAGCGAATAGGAACTTCCGAAAGTTGACTGGCCACTACCCTTTTTCATGTGGAACTATTTTAGGCAGTTGCCACATGTGCGGTCTGTCAAAACTTTACCCCGGTGGCGATTAGGCTACACTACATGGATCGGAGTTAATTTGTTTAAGCAAAAGTACATACAGTTATCTCCCAGACACAGAAACGCCTCGGCGGGGTTGCTATTGTAATGTATAGGGGTCTGTGTATATAAGCAGGCAACTTGGCCTCAATAAAACAGTCTTTGAACCCAATCCGACTGATTGCGTGCAATATATTGGGGACATTTCTATACGAAGTGGAAGAGCTATAATCACTACCAAGGACTAGCGGAGGAAGTCAGGAATGGTTACATTAGCCTAGCAACCCTTGACAGTAACGCCATGATGCATTGGCAGTGCCATCACAGTCTGCCATAGAGAATCACTGTATTCAAGGATTCTGTATGGCAGAATCTTAGGCGCATCGCACCAAGCACCATGCATGCACCTAAGGTACACAATGCTTCTCCATGAACATTCATTTAACAGTCATCCTGGAGGCCCACAGTCTACTCAAGCCAGCTTTCCTTTCGAGCCAAACCATTTGCAAACGGTTTGACAAGTTACCTAGGGGCCAAAGGGTAGCCTCCACCGCCTCCTCCTTTAAATGGTTCTACTTGCCACTGTTCTCAACTGCTTGACTATTAAGTGCTTATGGTCCTTGGAATGCTCTTTGAACAAAAATGGGAGCACAAGAATTAGAAAAAAGGTATAGCCTCTTAAAGGGGCAGTCTACGCACAATTACAGTACAAAGTAGTTATGGTGCCATCACATGGTGAGTAGTTAAACCATTTTCAAATTATGTTATATTCCCTTCATATCTGCTCTATTTAAAGTGTAAATTCCACTTACACAATAGATATATCAGCAGACTTTCAGACGATTAATTTCTTCCAAACACCGGCTTTTGGAGGACCCATGTAAGTGACTACTTACTGTAGGAAAGCACCCGGGCATGCCTAGCACAATAACCACTAGAGACTGTTCTGTTAATTTTCAAAGGCTTCCAATAACTAAGGCTTTATTGATTTTGTATTCCAGAAGTATTAGACCAGACAGATGGGATAAAAAAAAAAAAATGAAAGATCCTCTTTTGCAATTTTTTGTTTTTTTATTTTTTTAAGATGCCTGTTTAGGTGTACCTATAATGACATTAAGAATTTGACGACTAAACATTTAATAAAATAATCATTTTTTTGGCCAGGGTTTGAGCATGTACACCTACAAAAAGGATGGTGCTCCAAATACTATATTTAGTTCTGAAAGTGTTATAAATCAGCAGAGCATGTGTGATAGCACGTTTAACTCATATTCACCACAACTTGTTTATTTACAGCAACAGCTTTCACTGTTATCTAATAATGTGCTCCCCTGCAAAAATATGTACTGAATGGGCAATAAATACAGATCCAGGAAGAAAATGTAAAAATATATTATACACACAAACACACACAAGTGAACTTCCAATGCATTTCCTCTGACACCTGGGTTCATGAATTGCTTGAAATGATGCCCATTATATTTCACACATCGCTAGATAGATCACTACAGAGTTAAATTAACCAACAAATTCACACTGTGGAGTGTGTGACAACTGATTTCCCCTCAGTCTTTCTGATCACTCAACAGTCTTGCCCGGTCATCCAATGATGGGAAGACTGAGATGTGCACCGCAAGGGCATATTTTACTGTGCTTCCATTATACTTCGAGACATGTTAGCCCATACACAAGCACAACAACAGCGCTCAATGCATGAGCAGTCTGTCTGTAAAGCCAATTCATCACAGACTCCCCACAAGCTACCCCCGACCACCCCTACCATCTTTAAACAACAACAGACTTGCCATAGCTGGCAGCTTTGGCATGGATATGGCTAAATGGCAGTGTTTCAATAATATATCCATTTATCTCCAACACATATTTATCTATTTTTTTTATCCCCCACTCCTACTATTTTGACCAAAACTTACAGTTTTCACATTGAATAAACATACTGAAAAGGTTTGGTTCAAGATCAATAAAATGTGAAATACACTTTAACAAACTGGGATACATATATGCACATTTAAATGTGAGTATTACTATTAAAAAATGTTGATAATAGCTTTTTTTCTTCCAAAACATGACAACATTCTTTATCATGGGAAGATCTGGTATGGTTTCTTGGGAATAGTGTTTACATAAAACTCTGTTTAATTAACTACAGGGAGTATATAGATATATCCGGTATACAGGAAAGGGTAACAGGACAATATAATGAGTCACAGCAACTGCAACCTCATTCATGTCAAGCTAGGTCAAGGAAAGTCTTTAAAGGAAATCATCTTATTATAGAAAATAAAAAATTACAAGTAATAGTCCCTCTTTGTGTATTCCACATTATGGGTTTAATGAAATAAAATATTGGGCAGAAACAATATGGTTCTTTGTTTTGTGCACCACTAGACTTAGCTCTTGCTGAGAGCAGCGACCAGAGGACCAAAGGTAAGATGTCAAACTACACTGTAGTGGTTACAGTGCTTGGGAGTTTTCCTTTAAGCATGTGGCTGAATATAAGCCAAAGCTTAGTGGAGGGAGATGACCATGGTTGGTGATCAGGTTTACTAGCATAGGCGTGCTGGGTGTGCCAGGGCACACCCTAATCCCCGCGGCACACCTGTGGAGTGAGACTGAGATCTCCCCTGCCGACTCATGAAGAGCCGACGCTATCCGAGCGCCGGCTCTGCTCTCAGCCTCCCTCCCACCGACCCACAGACAGGGAGGGAGGCAGGAGAGGATCCGGGGAGCTCTTGCCAGCAGCTCTGCCGAGTTCCTCTCGCGAGATCTGAGCGAGAGTGAACCCCGCAGGCTAGAGTTCACTCTCACCACTAGGACCACCAGGGAAGGCAGAAAGGATCCCCCCTCCCTGGCATAAGGTAACAAGGGAGGGGGGATATTAAGCAATCTGCCCCCACCTCCACTGGACCACCAGGGAAGGCAGCAGCACGGTCCCCCCTCCCTACATAAGGTAAGAAGGGAGGGGGGATATTTATTAACTAATCTGCCCCCACCTCCACCCCCACAAATCACCCAAACAGCACACACACAGCACACAAACAGCACACAAACAGCACACACACACATACAGCACACAAATAGCACACACACAGCACCCACACACATACAGCACACACACAGCAAACAAACTTCACCCATACACACACACACACACACACAGCATCCTCACACATACAGCGCACAAACAGAACACAAATCACCCCCACACAGCACCCGCAGACACATACAGCACACTAACAGTACCCTCACAAACACAAACAGCACCCTCACACAGCACACTAACAGGACCCTAACAAACACACACACAGCACACTACCAGTGTGTGTGTGCGTGTGTGTATATATATATATATATATATATATATATATATACACACACACACACACACACACACATACACATACGCGGCGTGTGCTTTAGGGTGCGCATGCCTATGTTTACTAGTGAAGCTCAACATTTACTTCTAGACAGTGCATACCAACAGTACCAGGGTTCCCCACAAGCAGTGACATATTTGTTCAAATTTTAGTAATTACATGCATTAATAATATCTGCATTTTTGTAGAAAGAAAAACAGGCTCCAGCATGCAGGGGGCGGTGCTATAAACCTCCCAGGTGCAATGCATCCTGGGGAAACTTGCTTTGTATTGCGAAAAAAAATGTGTAAACCTAGGCATTATTTTCAATGGATTTTCATTTGTAAACTGAAAATTATGTTAAACGAGTCGTTTGTAAACCGAGGTCCCTCTGTGTATATATAAAAAAAGATCTTGATAAAGACCTCCAGGGTCGAAACGTTGATCGTTTATTTTCATCACTAAACATCGTTAAGCAACTCCATTGAGTGCTCTCTTCTTTCTATTTTTATATTTTACGCTGTGTATCACCTTGGTTTATTCCATAATTCTGAATTAAGTTAGAGTGCCAAATTACTACTTTTTTGTAATATATTACACACACTAGAGCCAACTGGAGCTCCTAGCGTGGAAAAGAAGAGGTAGGGAGAGACACTGATATTAAGATAACATAACATGATGCTGTAGGATAACAATGATATGTTTAATCACTGCTTGTACCTTTTGCACCTTATGTAAAAAATATGCTTAAATAAATAAAAATACATTAAAAAAAAAAAAATTATATATAAGCCAATTACTGAGAGCTTGGTCATATAGATATTGCAATTTACACACTGCTGCAGTTACAAGCTATTCTCAGAGTTGGGAGTGGGTGTAGGGTACTTTCTCAGAAACTTTGCAATGATGTCAAGATGCTAAGGTTCGTTTGGTGACCCTTTAAAAAGCACAAAAAAACCTTAAAATTTCCCCACTCGGAATTTGTCGCTTTAAGTAGCTTTTAAAAATGTATAGTTCCTTTCCAGTTCGCAGCTGAACAGCAGGATAAGACCAAAACAAAAACATCTGTACATTAGTGTTTTAAAATGCTCTTTTTTTTTTTATATCATGCAGTATTACTTAGGGTTTATTTCATTCATAATTCCACATTTTTATTTTGGGTAGGTAAAAACATATGTGTGGATACCGCAAAAGGAAAAAAGTTTTTTTATTTGTATTTTTATTTTTAAAAAAACAAAAAAAAATAAATTCATACACGCACACAGCAAAGGAGTTAAAAGTCTCCATTTCATTCATTATCAATGTTACCACTGTTTTATGAATCTTCTATGTTTATGTGCACTGGGATCCCTCCTAAAGACTAATGCTGGCTGTTTCATTAGAGCATACGTTTTTAGGAATTTTGGCAGTCAGAATCATAAACACTGGGATCACATGTATCTACAATAGGCAAGCCGAGTAAGGAATCCTGGCATCAGCTAAACTTTGGTCTATTGTGGACTTAAAGTGCTAGAGCACGCAGATTTGGCAAAATGGCAGCTTTATGTCTGCTATGGCTTATGTGTACCAATATATCACCACTAGAGAATTTCAATATAATAATAATAAAAAAAGTTAATCTGGCAAAAATACTACATTACCAAACAGAGTTTTGATACACTTCTTGTATGACATAAGGATAGTATAAAGCAAAAAAAAAAATTTCTGATCAAAGGATTGTGGAAAAAAAAGCACAGAACCTATGCCAATTACGCAGCCATCACTGTGCCAGTACCATGCAAATTAAAATACAGTTCAAGGCACCTATTTTTGTGTCAGAAAACAAGCTTCAATCAAAGTCATAACATCCCCTTATACATTAGATATAGAAGTTATCACAGTGATCCTTTTTTTTTTTTTCTTGTTAAATGCACACTCCAAGCATCATAACAACTACACTACACTACACTGTAGTGGTTTTGGTAACAGGAGCACCATGGAACCCCCCCAGTCAATCCGTTTGACTTATTAATTGGGATCCACTTCCTACCACCACATCCTGCTTTGTGACAGACATACAGACTCCTTCATTGAGCTAAGCTCGATGATCCATGGCTTAGCTGATTGGCTGGGAGCGATCAGCTGATGTTCTCGATCCATACACTAAGCTTTGTACTATAAAGCTTAGCTCATGAGAGATAATTAATACACATGAGCAGGAACTTCTGGCTTTCACTTGGCTGTAGAATATGCGTGGAGTGTAACCCAGCAGGCAAGAAGTCAAACTGTTCTAAAACAGAGCGCTACTGGCACCATAACCACAAAAGCATGCTGCAATCGTTATGGTACTTGGAGTGTTCCTTTAAGGGGATGCTGTTTTAAATATTTACCTTCTCTCCATTACTGCCAGTAATGCAATGATCTGGGGTTTGCGAGAGTAACATTAATGTACAACCACATCATGTTGACATTGCCGTTCCACGTATCACTCTGTTAATATACAGGGTTATCCACAAAACGGGAATTTCAAATTTAAAGGACCACTCTAGGCACCCAGACCACTTCAGCTTAATGAAGTGGTCTGGGTGCCAGGTCCAGCTAGGGTTAACCCATTTTTTAATAAACATAGCAGTTTCAGAGAAACTGCTATGTTTATGAATGGGTTAAGCCTTCCCCCTATTCCTCTAGTGGCTGTCTCATTGACAGCCACTAGAGGCGCTTGCGTGCTTCTCACTGTGATTTTCACAGTGAGAGCACGCCAGCGTCCATAGGAAAGCATTATGGATGCTTTCCTATGTGACCGGCTGAATGCGCGCGCAGCTCTTGCCGCGTGTGCGCATTCAGCCCAGGAGGAGGAACGGAGGAGGATCGGAGGAGGAGAGCTCTCCGCCCAGCACTGGAAAAAGGTAAGTTTAACCCCTTTTCCCCTTTCCAGACCCGGGCGAGAGGGGGTCCCTGAGGGTGGGGGCACCCTCAGGGCACTATAGTGCCAGGAAAACGAGTATGTTTTCCTGGCACTATAGTGGCCCTTTAAGACCAAAAGACCAAACTGGAACCATAGGTGACTTAGAGTAGAGAATGTTTCCAGTTTGGTTATTTTGACCTTAAATGTGAAATGCATCACTTTAGTAAATAACACTAATAATCTTCAAGTAATGAACAAGACACATGTGCAAGGGAAAGATCGCAGTAACTACAATGCATGAGCTGTAGTTGCTGTAACAGATTGCAGGAGATCCAACTACAGGAGGGTTATCCTGCTCTGCCCCTCATTTGTCAGCATACAAATGATCCTGCTATTGGTGCAAATTAAAGGGACACTATAGTCACCCAGACTACTTCAGCTCAATGAAGTGGTCTGGGTGCCAGGTCCCTCAGGTTTTAGCCCTTCAGATGCAAACATAGCAGTTTCAGACAAACTGCTATGTTTACATTTGGGGTTAATCCAGCCTCTAGTGGCTGTCTTCCGGACACCCACTAGTGGCGCATCTGCGACGCTGGAGGCGAATTTCGCCTCCATCGCGCAGAGCGTCCATAAGACCATCCATCCATCCATCACCAGCACTAAGCTCTGGAAGTAGTTTGTCCAGTTAGGAGATTCACATTCTGGTTACCGACTCTAATTTGTCAGACATGTTTAACTCAATACAGCAAGCTTAAAGAGCAGCTCTGGTACTTGTTGTTTAATTATTTTTGTGGAGATTAGAAAAGTGACCATATATAGTCTACACAGAATAAGTAACCTCTTTCTCTCTCGTATGAAAATCTGTCAATTCCAAACCGAATGTTTCTCTCTGCACAATGTGTAGGGAGGAGAATACAAACTGACTAGCACATTGCAAAACTTCCTGTGCATAGTCTTAGTTCAGCTTAGTTCATCTATTGGCTTTCTACATATGCTTGGCAGAAAAGGTGGGTTTATGGAAAAGAGAGGAGATTTGGGACAGAATAGATGTTAAAGATTCAGAATACTGCAAAACATAATTATTTAGACCAAAAACTATATAATGCAGTAAAGTTGTGTTGAAGCATGAACTGTACTTGTTTTGTGAATGTTGAATAACAATATATTGCTGAAGTGTGACATACCTGGAAACTAGAGAAATTGTTGAAAAGGCTTAGTGATCCACATGCTTTTAGCTGCTAGATATCTTAACGTTCTTAACTGGAAGTTGTTGGACATAATTAAATTGTTGGACATAATTAATCTCAAGTATACTTACAAAAGAATGACAATATTTATGCTCAAACAGCATTAACTTTTTGACAAAACGTGGTCCCCTTGGAGATGGTCTTTAACCCATTCATTCTTGGGACGCCACACAGATGGATAATGTTATGGTCCAGACTGCTTCACATGAGACCAGTAGTTTCATACAACCTTGCTTTATTGCCGAACATTTACTGATAATTCGGTTACTTAACCTTTCACGCCATCACTGAGGGATTCTTGGCATGTTCTTTCGATATCAGGTTGCCTTACATTTTTCTTTCAACACTAACGCTTTGTAAACTGCTGCCTGTCGAGGCATTATTTTCTTGTACTCCATTTTCCCCATTTTACTTTCTGTACCTTTACTACAAAATGTTTCAATAAACTACAAAAAGAAAACTAGAGAATGTCAATGTATTCTTCCAACAATTTCTAAATAAATACACTTATCTGGAGAGATTAATGCTAAATGAAACATTGCTCAACACAAGTTAAAATACCAGTTATTCTGGCCCTCTGGGTTTTCCCCAAGTGGCGTAGTAGAGCTGAACCCTCAATGAAGACAAATATGAAGTGAGCTTTGGACAACATAGAAAGGCCATGAATGGAACCTTCCCACAGCACTCCACTAACGTGCTGCACAGTTTATAACTGATTTGGGGCTTTCTAAATGGAGAACATAAAAGTAGAAATTCTAGATCTACTCTGTTCTAATATTTTGACAGACAGGAGACAAAATGATGGTGGAACAAAGATAACAACATTTGCAAAAATTGCTATATAGTCATTAACAGACAAACTAGTAATAGCATCAGTAAAAAAAAGGGGTTAATTATGAGGAACAAACGAATC